AATTACTATGTGTCTTGGTGTGGGCCTGATTAGGTTCTTCTTACTTGGGGCCCTCTGTGCTTCTTGAACTTGAATGACTTCTTCCTTCACCAAATTAGGGAAGTTTTCTGTCACTATTTCTTTGAATATATTTTCTAACTTTTGCTCATTTTCATCTTCTTCGGAGACTCCTATGATGCGAATATTGTTACGTTTGCAGTTGTCCCACAGTTCTCTTAAGCTGTCTTCCTGCTTTTTAATTGTTTTTTTCCTTTTGGTTTTCTGATTGATTGATTTTTTTTCTACCTTGTCTTCTAATTCACTGATCCAGTCTTCAGCTTCCTCTACTCGGCTCTTTAGACCTTCCAATGTGTTCTTTATTTCTGATATGTCATTCTTGATCTCTTCTTGGTGGTTTTTAATTTCCAACTGGTTCATTTTCGGCATCTCTATGTTCTTACTCATGCTGTTGAGCTTCCTCAAGATCATGGCTCTGAATTCTAGTTCTGTTAACTTGCCTAACTGCTCCACATTGATTTTTTCTTTGGTGGAGGTCTCTTGTTCTTTCATTTGGCTTTTGTTTCTGTGTTTCACCATTTTGGCTATCACAGTGGGCTTTGGAGCCTGCCAAGTTTTCCCTGTGGGTACTGGTGTTCTGCACTTTGTGGCTCCCTCTCCTGGGTTTAGATGAGCGAGGGAGTACCCACATTAAACACCACTGTCAAGTCTTACTTTCCTGGTTAGAGTTGCTAGCCCAGGAATGGTACTGTTATTCTCTAGCTTTCTGCCTGGAGGCTAGCAGTTAAGGTTACTTGAAGAATTTTCACTTGTTAGTTGATTGAAAAACTCCCGCAGGTGCTCAGAGTAAGAGGATTTCCGAAGGGTGGAGCAGATGCTGGTTGTTTGTGAGCCTCAATTTGCATTTCAGTGGCCCACAGGGTGGGGTTGAATCTCTGAGGGAGGTGTCGCTGCCTCTCCCCAGAGCCCTGGGAAGGAACAAGATGGCCACCATCCTTTGTGGCTGCACTCAGCAAAAGCTGTGAGCGCCCTCCAAATCCCCAGCGTCCCCACACAGTTCCAGTTCAGTCTGCCCTCCCTCTGCTGGAGCCCAAGGTGAGTGGCTGCGGCTATTATAGCCTCTGTCCCGACTCTGTGCTGTGGAGCTGCTTGGGACTTTAACCCCAGGGCGCTGCTCACAGCTAAGGCTGCTGATGTCTGTGGGCTCCCAGACCCGTCTCGCGCCTGCGCAATCCTACCAGGATCGAGTCAGTCTCCCTGGTTATATGGTCCTTGCAAGCTGCTTTTCTTTTGCTCTTTCTCGTCAATTTGTCTGTGTTTTAGTTGTAATTCCAGTTTGGTCCTGGGAGAGGGTCTATGTAGCTTCCATTCACTCTACTGCCATTGGATTCTTTGTTTATAAATCTAATATTTTTGTAGTTAGAGCATAGAAAACATATTTATGACTTTCTAAATATGTTTTAAAAATTATTAGAGCCCTCCAGACATGAAATAATATCTTTAAGTCACCATTACACTCATATTACCCAATATATTAGACAAAATGAGAGAAAATAAGACATATTAGACATTACAAATATATTATTATTATTGTACATTTAATTACACACACACAGTTCTTACACACAACCACTAACCTATGAAAATAGTGCAACTTGTTCAATGATGAAGTGATGAAGATGAAGAGATGTACTGCACAGCAAAGAGAGCAAGGTTACTGCTCCTCTGAAGGCACGACCTCAGTAGGAGAGTCTTCAGGTGGTGCAGAATCAGTATCATCAGCAGGTGCATCATCGTCTTCTTCCGCTGAAGGAGCACTAGGAGTAGGCAGTGGGTGACTGAGTGCGCGGCTGAAGAACATCGTGAGAGGCTGTTGATGCTGTCTTTTTATATGCGTGAGGAGGCTTACGTAGGGTCTATCGCTACATCAAGTGCATTCCGGAACCGCAATGTAGGCATCATTTGTGGGTCCCATTCGCCAATCATGTCCTGCACTACCTCAATAGTTCTCACAACTTGCGAGAGATGCTCAAGTGGAAGGCCAACTTCCTCCTCCTGACCCCCAGGAACCTCTGGCTGCTCTTCCTCCTCCTCACTCGCAGACTTAGTCATCTCCACCAGATCCTCATCCGTTAAGGGATCTGAATGTGTCTCCGGCAGCTCATCCATGTCATCGCGGGTCATATCCACGACACCTTCTCCTTCCAGCATCCGGGCTAGCCTAACTCCCTTATCCACTACTGAGTTATTATATCCTCTGGAGTGAATCCTCTATAGTCATGGACAATTTCAGGCCACAACGTCTTCCAGCTGGCCTCCACGGTCCCCGTCTTTATGTCCTTCAACACGGCCTGGATGTTCTTCACACAGGTCGCGATGGTATACTGCCACCAGTACTCCTTCAGCAAGAAGGTCCCCTCAAGGTCCATGCCTTCGATGAGGTGCTGCAGGGTGTTTTGCATGTAGAGGGCCTTGAATGTGAGAATAACACCTTGATCCATGGGCTGGATCAGCGAAGTGGTGTTGGGAGGAAGGAACTTGATCCGCACACCGTCGTAGGATAGGTCTTGAGCATGACCTCCAGTACTGTCCATGAGGAGAAGGACATCAAACTCGAGTTTCTTCTCCGTGAGATACTGCTTGACTTTGGGTATGAAGCACTTGTGGAACCAGACCGATGACAGCTGCTCCATGATCCAGCCCTTGTCGTTGTGCATCCAATGCACTGGCAGCAGGTTCTTGTTTCTATTCTTCAGGGCCCTAGCGTTCTTGGCCCTGTAGGTAAGGGCAGGCTTGAGCAAAAGTCCCTCAGCATTTCCACACATAACCATGGTCACGCGATCCTTATATGCCTTGAAACCATGGATGACCTTGGCCGCATCTTTGAAAGTGAATGTCCAGGAAGGCATTCTTTTCCAGAACAGTCCTGTTTTGTCCATGTTGAACACCTGTTCTGGATGATACTTGCCCTCCTCAAGGGTCTTTGGAACATTTTGTTCACGTAGTCTTCTGCTGGAGGCTGGTCAGCAGAGGCAGCTTCTCCGTGGAGAACGACACTCTTCAGATGATACCCCCTCTGGAACTTCTCGAACCAACCCTTGCTTGCCATGAAATCCATGAACCTTGCAGAAGAGGGTCCTGGTTGAGGTTCGTCTGCCATAAAGCGCTGATAAAGCTGCCTCGCCTTCTCCTGGATGACCAGAGAATCCAGGGGAATGTTTTTCTTGAGACTGTCGCTGATCGAAATGGCTAGGACAGACTCCATTTTCCCTATGAACTTATTATGACTTGTCACAACGCGCTTTGTTTCCTTGTTGAAAGAGACAGTAGCCGTTGCACGGATGTTCTTTTCATCTTTACTGATGGAGTGAACGGTAGACTCATTCAAGTCATAATGGTGGGCAGCCTCCATGATTTTCTTGCCATCTTTGCTCATACCCAAGAGTTTCACCTTCTCCTGGATGGTAAGCATCTTCCTCCAGCGCTTAGTTTCATTGTCAGAAGGCTTAGAAGAAGCGGCACGTTTAGGAGCCATTGTGGGGCTTAGATAAAAGTTCTCAGAAATCACAAACACTTGCAAGAGCAGAGATGCTTCTGATGCTTAGTGATGTAGAAGCGTGTATGTGAGAAAGGAACTTGCATGAGGCTGAGCCAATCAGTGGCCAGGAGAGGAGAGGATAGGATAGCCAATCAGTGACCAGCATGTTCTAATTGGCTCAGTTTCACCACACCCAATTTTTTGCGAAAAAGTTTTTGCCCACATTCAAGGAGTGGTGGAGTGGTTGCACCTGGCGTTGACAGATTTGTGGGGGTGCTCGAATACATAGGCTTATAGTCCATACGTACAGTAATTTTAGTTTTAATTGTAATACAGGGGTGTATAATTGACTCAGACAACCAAGCATGCACTGTATCATTTTCACTGTCTCAATCCATTTATATTTGAAATAACTGCGATAGAATTAAGCTGCGAAAGTCGAAGCGTGAAGTGGCCAGGGACGACTGTCTAAGCACAGTAGGGCATGTCATCACTGTTGCAGCTTATCACGTAGTGTTTATGTGCCTCACCACAGCAGCTTTCCAGCAGGTGCTTGGTCTAAGTGTGCATTAAATTCCTTTAATTTTTTCATATGCTTTAAGTATATTTTGGTTCCAATTTTGGGATTCAGAGTGGATCGGTATTTGCAGAAAAATAACTTGATTAGTAAACTTCCTTTAAGAGTGTTTTTATTCCTGGCTGGTTTGGCCCAACGGTTAGAGCATGGGCCTGCGGTCCAGAGAGACCCGGGTTCGGTTCCCGCTAAGGGCATGTACCTCCATTGCAGTTTGTCCCCGGCCCTGGATGGTTTGTGCGGGTGGCAGCTACTCGATGTGTCCCTTTCACGTCGATGTTTCTCTCCCTCCCACTCTATCTGAATGAAATATGGAAAAATGTCCTCGGGTGAGGATTAAAAAAAACAAAACAGTGTTTTTATATGAAACATGGTCTTTGTCACTTTTGGTTTGTCAAAAACCAGTGATGGGTCTGAGAATCAGGCTTTTTTTCCTTTGATCTGTAGCTATTTGAACATACCAGTTGCTGTATAAGAAGATTAATGTATTAAGTGGAACATATGAAATGAGTTTTTGTTAGGCTTTTGGTTAATCTCAGGCATCTTTAGTCTTAGTGGCAGAACTCATTAGAGAGAGACCTTTTTTTTTCTTCATTCAATGTAGAAATTAAGCTTTTTTGCCCATTCACCTGACTGTTACTTGTTCTAGCCAAATCCAGTATTGTGCCCCCTTTCCATGTTGGATCTCTTGGGAGAGCTAAGGAGTACAATACCTCCTTGTACTTGACTCCTTAATTGCACTGGAGAAAGTGTGAATATAAGAGCTGAAACATTTTATGGGGTGCCTGCCCTAGGGCTTGTTTTCATGTCTGAGATCAAAAGAACATTGAAACTCAATGTGTTGTTTTGTTCTAACATGGTGAAAAGTGGATATTTTTCTCTGTCTTACAGTTCAGAATTTAGGCCACCCATATTGGCTAACCTTGGCTCCAATGTATATTTGGTTTATAATTTTCTTCATCCAGCCTCACAAAGAAGAGAGATTTCTTTTTCCTGTATATCCACTTATTTGTCTCTGTGGCGCTGTGGCACTTTCTGCTCTTCAGGTGAGTTTCAGGGAAATATATATCTGCTGCATTCTGTTTCACTTTTTAAATTGCTCCTAAAGCTTAAAGGCAAATTACAGAATGCTTCCACCTAAGATATTTTATCCATACAGTAAACCTGATACAGATCATGTTAAAGCTTTATGTAGTGACTGCTTAGCTGTTGATTGTACTCTTTTTAGCTGATTACATATTTGCAGTGTTGATTTATGTGTTATTTGTCTCTCTTGTCAACAAGAATCCATGTATTTTTAAGTCATTGTATGGGCCTCCCACAGAATGGTGGCACCCAGTAGAGCTAATGGAATGTCTGCTCTTCAGTGAGATCAGAATAAAACTTGCTCAGCTGTTTGGGATAACATCAGGCAGTTAGCAATAAGGGACACTTTGTAATCCTGGCTTAAGACCTGTCTAGGTCAATTGCCTGTTAGAATTAATCTTAAATATCTCTATATTTGTGACCCCAGAAGCCTCCAGACTCTTTTTTGAACTCTGCTACCATTTGCAAGTGGCAGGAAAGAATAATTAGGGTAATAGGTTTTCTCTTTAACAGATTTATGGAGATAATTCACAAACCATACAATTTACCCATTTAAAGTGTACAACTCTTGCCCTGGCCGGTTTGGCTCAGCGGTTGGAGCGTCGGCCTGCGGTCCCGAGAGACCCGGGTTCGGTTCCCGCTAAGGGCGCGTACCTCGGTTGCAGTTTGTCCCCGGCCCTGGTTGGTCGTGCGGGTGGCAGCCACTCGATGTGTCCCTTCCGGTCGATGTTTCTCACTCTCTCTCTTCCTCTCTCTCCCGCTCTATCTGAACAAAAAAATGTCCTCGGGTGAGGATTAAAAAAAAATAAAAAAAAAAAAAAAAAAATAAAAAAAAAAAAATAAAGTGTACAACTCAGTGGTTTTTAGTGTACCCACAGATATGTGTAACCATCACCACAGTCAATTTTAGAACATTTTCATCACCTCAGAAACCCTGTACTCTTTAGCTGTTGTCACTCCCCTTTCCCGTATCTCCCCATAGCTACTACTAATCTACTTTGTATCTCTGTAGATTTGCCTAATCTGGGCATTACGTATAAATGGAATCATACAACATGTGGTCTTTTGTGACTAGCTTCTTTCACTTAGCATAATGTTGTTAAGGCTCATTCATTGTTAGGATAACGGTTTTATTTTATTTTTTTAAATAAAATTTTCTACTTGGTTCCTCTAGTAGAAACTTTTTTTTTCTTTATTGATACTAGAGAGAGAGAGGGAGAAAGAGATAGAAACATTGATGAGAGAGAACATGGATTAGCCGCCTCCTGCATGCCCCCCACTGGGGATCTGGCCCACAACCTGGGCATGTGACCTGACTGGAAATTGAACCCGTGACCTTTTGGTACATGGGTCGATGCTCAACCACTGAGCCACACCAGCTGGGCAGGATGACTGTTTTAAATAATTTTAATTATAAAAGTAATTGAACTTCATTGCAGGTAATTTTTCTTTCATGACTTTCTAAATTAGTCCTACTACCCTAACAAAACGCCTTCCAGATTGTTGCCTGTCATGCATCAAAGTATATGTGGTTGTAATCTAAGTGTACATATAACTTCATATTCCTTTTAATAAAATTACATATATCATAACATTCTCTATGTTGCCACATCTATACCCCTTATTTTGATAGCAGTGTAACGTTCTGAACCGGCTATAATATATAACATTATTATGTAATTTATTACATATTATATAACATTGAATCAATTGTATATAAGGTAATGATTAGATATAATTTATTTAGAGTTTAACTTGCTTACTTATTTCAGTATTATAAATAATGCTAGGATAAATAGCTTCATTTAGGTATTTGTATTGTTTCCTTAGGACAGATTTCCCAAAATATGAAAGAATTCAAACATATTTATGGCACTTGTTATATATTGCAAAACTGCTTTCCAAAAGTAGCTCTAGTCTAGGATGGGACGAAGGAAGGAAATAAATCTAATAAGGTGGTACTCAAAGACTGTGCAACTCATGCATGGATAAATACATTGTAATAATATTCATCCAGTTTGTAAAGTAGTTTAGCAGATAATTGATTTTTCTAACGTTCTATTAGAGAAATTATTTTTTCTTTTTGTTTGGTCATGAGATATTTTGTTGATTCTGAAAACTTTTCAGCAAGGAAAGTAAAGACTAATACTCATATATCAAAATAGATTAATACTTCGTATATCAAAGCACTCCCAAGAAGCATTTTGTTCAAATTTTAAAAAATAAATCATTAGCATTTTAAGCATTAGAGAAATATCCAAATAATTTTCCTATGAAGCTACTGAGATTTCATTCTTGAGAAACCTCCTGGCCAGGCTAACCTGAAGATAGTCTCATGGAGTTTGCTTCAATCTTAGAATTTGGAGTGGGCACCTCACTAAGTGTTTGCAAATGCTCAGACCCTCAATAGAACCTCTTTGCTGCTTTTTCCATCTTTGTTTTACTGTGATGTCTTCTGATTATGTATATTCTGCAAGTTATGTCTTTTTTTTAAATACAGTTTTCTTTCCTTCTAGAAATGTTACCACTTTGTGTTTCAGCGATACCGTCTGGAGCATTATACTGTGACCTCAAACTGGCTGGCATTGGGAACACTCTTTCTGTTTGGACTCTTATCTTTTTCTCGCTCTGTGGCACTGTTCAGAGGTAAGTGTACTGAGCCTTAACCCATAGTCCTGAGGCACTTTACCTTGGGTTTTGCTTAATGTGTGATTGTTGAATACAATTTAGCTTAAACTGGGAGGGGGACTTTGCTATAGGGGATCCTGTGGATTTACTATTAAGACTGGGATGGGATTTGCGTATTTTAGGATTGAACAGAAGATTGAGAATTCCTTTTAATGTGGTTAACTAATTTTTCTTTTTTTTCTTTTTTTATTATCCTCACTCGAGGACATTTTTCCATTTTTTGTTAAGATAGAGTGGGAGGAAGAGGAAGAGAGAGAGAGAAACATCGACGTGAAAGAGACACATCGAGTGGCTGCCACCCGCACAACCAACCAGGGCCGGGGACAAACTGCAACTGAGGTACATGCCCTTAGCGAGAACCGAACCCGGGTCTCTCTGGACCGCAGGCTGACGCTCTAACCGCTGAGCCAAACTGGCCAGGGCTGATTAACTAATTTTTTATCTCTATTCTTGTTGACTTTTTTACCTTTTATTTTTATTTTATTTATTTATTTATCCTCACTCGAGGACACTTTTCCATTTTTTGTTCAGATAGAGTGGGAGGGAGAGAGAGAGAGAGAAACATCCCTGTGAAAGAGTGGCTGCCCTCCCGCACGACCCAGCCAGGGCCAGTGACAAACTGCAACTGAGGTACGTGCCCTTAGCGGGAACCAAACCCGGGTCTCTCTGGACCGCAGGCCGACGCTCTAACCGCTGAGCCAAACTGGGCAGGGTTTTTTTTTTTCCTTTTAAAGGATGAGTTAGGGAAGTTTTAAACTTAGGATGCAGATTTGGGGCTCAACTCCTGTGATTATATGTTTTGTTGTAATCTTTAATTTCACATAGATTGCAGTGGGACATTAACATGCATCACAATTAAATGTCAGAATCATATGTTACTTACTTATCTTTGGCTTTCATAAACCTTTCTTCCTTCCAGGGTATCATGGGCCCCTTGATTTGTATCCAGAATTTTACCGAATTGCTACAGACCCAACTATCCACACTGTCCCAGAGGGCCGGCCTGTTAATGTCTGTGTAGGAAAAGAGTGGTATCGATTTCCTAGCAGCTTTCTTCTGCCCGATAAGTAAGTTGTCCTTTAATCCCAGAGTTTTAAATCAAGGAGTAAAATAGCAATTCTATGGCAGTGTCTTCTTAATTTTTCTTTCTTTTTGGATTTTTCACAAGAAGTTGTGTTTTTTTATCCCCACCTGAGGACATTTGCATTTATTTTCAGATAGAGTGGTAGGGAGAGAGGGATGAAGAGAGAGAGAGAAACATTGATGTGAGAGAGACACATTGACTGGTTGCCACACACATGACCCCAACCGGGGCCAGGGACAAACTGCAACCAAGGTACATGCCCTTAGTGGGAACTGAACCAGGGACTCTCTGGTTTGCGGACTGACGCTCTAACCGCTGAGCCAAACCGGCCAGGGCTCACAAGAAGTTTTTTGTTTTTTATCCTCACCTGAGGACATTTTTCCATTTTGTTCAGATAGAGTGGGAGTTGAGAGGGGAAGAGAGAGAGAGGGAGAGAGACATCGACGTGAAAGGGACACATCGAGTGGCTGCCTCCCACACGACCCAACCAGGGCCAGGGACAAACTGCAACTGAGATACGTGCCCTTAGCGGGAACCGAACCTGGGTCTCTCTGGACCCTAGGCCGACGCTCTAACTGCTGAGCCAAACCAGCCAGGGCACAAGCGGTTTTTTAATTATCATCTCAGAGAACTGTGGGATCTGCACTGTGCACCCATTGCCTATGTTCAGTGGACTGAATGCTGCGTCTGGTTCTATACCCTGCACTGCCCTTAACACAGAGCTCTGGGGAATCCTAAAACCTCTTTGGGTCCCGGGTTCCTGCTAGTGGCTCCTCCTGAGGATTCATATTGAAATTTCTATAGTGATCTGATATTAATTTACTTCTAAAAGTGGTCTAGAAACTTTAGCAGGAAGAGTTTTTAGAGAAGAAATGTTTAATCTCACAACAGTGGAAGTTTTCCACCAGTGTATGGACACTAGGGGGAGCTGTGGTTGAGACATCTGAACCACTTTCCTTTAAGCTGTCTGTTGTTGGATGTGATAGCATAGGTTCTGGATTTCCTTGTATTGGCTTAATTCGGACACACAAGAGTGCTAGTTCAGGAAAAGGAAGTCAGGTTAAGGGTCATGTTGCTCCATTTGGGGACTGGCTTCAACATATTAGCTGGTGGTGGTATTTTGTGCTTGATAAAGATCCTGTATCAGCCATCAATGATTAAATAAAAACTTGTTTTTTTAAATGTTAACTTTACCTTTGCCTTTTCCATTTGAAATAGTTTCATAACTAAAAATACCTTTGGGGATTACTTAGGAACAAAGTCCTTTTCCCATAGTGAGTTCTTACATTTCACTCTTTTCTCTATACTCCTAATGAATTTGCTTTAATCTGGATAAGTGGTAATTGGCAATAAACTTTGATGCTTCTCTGGTTGTTTGATGGTATGACTATTTGGTTATATATTCATTGCTGAGAGTTGGTGAAATAGGTTGAGAGACCTCTAGTTTAAAATTTCTCAACGAGTTTGGACTGAATTGTGACCTCTGCCTCTCTGCTCCTGGGTTGAGGTTTTAGTAGAAATATTTTTTCTCCAAGTGAAATGAAATGTTTTTCACATGATTTTGTTTTTGGCTTGTTTATTTCAAGTACATTTAGCAATATGAATTCTCTGTGTTTTTCTTACTTTCCTTATTTGTGTTTCTGACAGTTGGCAACTTCAGTTCATTCCATCAGAGTTCAGGGGCCAGTTACCAAAACCTTTTGCAGAGGGACCATTGGCTACCCGGATTGTTCCCACTGACATGAATGACCAGAACCTAGAGGAGCCATCCAGATATGTAAGGACAACATTCTCCTTTTACTACTGTGAAAAGAGTTCTACCCTAAAACCTGTTGGCAAACATATTAGAACATTGATAAAATGGGACTTTCTTAGAAAGTGATTTCTTTAGGGTGAGGGATATAGCAACTTTGTTGAGAAAGAATGAACAGTATCACTTTTATTTTCAAATTACCCCCTTTATTTTCTAGGTAAAACATATAATTCACTATATTTTCTAAGCTGGGCTGGAAATTTTCTTATGTAGAATTTGAATCATCATTTTAAAACACATTCTGAAACTCTTTTCATTCCTTGACCCATTAAAATACTTAGTGGGGGACTTTCAAGTTCTCAGTAGACCTTTGGCCTCACCATCAGTATATTCTGGTTTTAGCAAATGGACAGTTATCAAAGGCTATTTTCTCAGTTTGTCCATGGAGCAATGTCTCTCAGGACTTTGCTCTTCTACCCACTGGTCTTTACTCACTCTGAGATTCCATGAGGATTTTATTTGTTTCTTTTAAAGGTGATGCCATTTGGTACCAGTAAAATTCTTGATTGTGGATAAGGTGAGAGCAATAAAGACAGTGCTTTGGTTCCAAGAGTCAATAAAAGATTATTTTATAGATTGGAAAGCACATTGTTGGGCAACATTTAACAATCTAAATGTAAAATGCATTTTATTTAGGTTTTCTTATGTCACATACTTGAAATGGGAAATACCGGGTCCTAGTTCCCTTCTGAAGCAAACCGCCAGCCACATCTGGCCTTTTGTCTTCTGTATTGGGGCTGGTTAGACTTCCATGGAGATCCTCAGGGCTTATGAGTGAGATTCTTATTGTGTGAGCTTTAGCTATAAGCTATGAAAATAAACATCATAAGATATAAACTTGGTTTGGCCCCCTGAGAAGGTAAGATATGTATTCTACTAAGTGGCTTATATTAGAGCTTCCTAACTTAGCCTCTGATTCCTGGAACAATGGAAGTACCCCTGAGCAGAGTAAACTGTTATTGGTCATTTTCATTTTAGCTGAGATACCCTCCTGAGAGCCGGCTTTGATGCACAGGGGATCACATCACCATGGGGACACTGGAGAGTTCAGAATGGCAGAATACACTGTGATGGGGAAGATATAATTTGAGCGTTGTCAGAGCTATGTTTTAGGAAGAGGTAGCATGGGGTAGTCAAAAAAGAGCATGGACTTTATAGTCAGGTAGGCCCAGTTCAAATCCCAGTTCTGTTGCTTATCTTGGTGATCTTTGACAAATTAGTTAACTTCTCTGTTTAATATCAGTTTCTGTCTGGAAAATGGGAATTGTGATACCTACTTTGGAAGATTATTATGAGATTAGATAATGTATCTCTTTGTCATATTTAGCATAGTGTTTGGTACATTGATGTTTCCACAAATGTTCTTAATCAGACAATGGCTTATGAGATGAATTAGAAGTAAAGGAACTGCTTCAGAGGATTTATGGTCTGCCTGAATTTAGCTCTTCTTCCTTACTTTTATTGTTCCTAAATCTGGTTTTTATTTCAGTTCATCCAGACCTATCATTTCCTTTTCTATTCCAAAGACTTTGCTTATCTTGATGACTACACTTATCTTCCTTCTGATGCTATCAAAACTCTCTTCTCTGAAACCTTTCCCAATTATAAGTCCATAGTGAGCAGTCCTTCTTAAATGCCTTAAATAGTTATCTGTATAGCTCATTTAGCCATTTAATTTTGTTGTCTTATGTTATTTAAATATTTCTGATATGTATGTCTTATCTTTCCCCATCATATTGTAAATGCTATAAAGAGAATGACTGCACCTTATTTCTTTTGTATTCTCCACAGCATCTAGGATAGTGTTGTACATCTAGTAGTTAGCCTGTGTATTCTTCCTTGCTTGAGAAATGAAAATTGACCAACATTGGGCTAGTGATGTTGAGAGAAAGCCTTTTGAACCTTTTGTAGATTTTTTAGACTTTGGGCACTGGTTGTCTCTGTGTGGATCTGATTTCCATATTCTCTGCTATCAGACACTGCTAAGTGGCTCTATATTAGGTGTACCTAAACGGTAAAGATTTTTTAGGAGTCACTAGAATGCTGGCTGATAAAAGCAGGGACAAACGAGTCAGATGTATCTGCTGAGGGTACAGTGGCTATCATATGTTCATCCACCTTCCTGTGGTTGAGAGTTTCCTACAGAGTTCTCTTTGGATTTTCCTGCATGGTGGGGAAGTGCCCTCCAGATCCAGTCTATTCACCTTTGACCCTTTGGAAAGCAGAAGAGCTGTTTGATGGCTTACTATGAATTCCACATGTACTATGATCGGGGATTCACTTGTTTTAGTTAACTGTTTAAAAAGATAGTTATTTTCCTCTGAGGATAAAAGTAATATACACTTATTGTATAAAATAATGAAAGCTATCAGTAAGGAAAGTAATCTTATAATCTCATTAAATAAATATTAAACCACTGTTAGCATTTTGATGGTTTTTTCTTTTTTTTTACTTTTTTTCTTGCATACGTATATAACATGTTTGTATGTAAAAAAAAAAAAATCTCAGTTATTTTTTAATAAAGTGCTGTAGTTTTTAAAAATGGTGCCAGGATCAAGACTGTAATGGCTAAATAACTTAGTCTGACACAGAGGAGGCCATGCTGTACTACCTCTACGTTTGTTATTTCTGGTATCATTCTTAAACGATATTTAATCTGGGTTCATTCTTAAAGGAAAATAATTGTTATTTCTCTTCCCTGAGCATGCCAAATAGCAACATTATTTTTATCTGCCCCTTGGCTCTGAGTGACAGGTTTTAGCCAACCCTTCAGTGCTGAGTGATTTGGATCTGTCTCCTGTTTCTAGTTTGCATGGAAACCAGTAAACATGTGTGACCTCCCTTTACCTCTGAGTTTATCAAGAATTAGGAGTGTGTGTAAAGGTTCTGTGGTTTCTACTGCATTGTTCTAACTATATGGCAGAAATAATTTTGCTTTACTTTCTCCTATAGCAGGTATTGAGTAGCTATTGAACATCCCATTATTGAGCAGTTAATAGTTTACACTGGTACATGCCAACATTTTCAGCCAGAATCAAGGTCTGAATTTAGAAGATGCATTTAGTTGACCTTGAAAAAGACCTCAAGTTTGCTCGTGGAAGTGGCGTTGGAAGGGTTGCAGCTTGTGAACTAGTGAAAGGTGTTCTGAAATATGACAGAAAGTTATAATACCAAATATATTGAGTGTGGCTCATAACACAACGAACTGAAGAAGCTGGGAGGTCTTTGAGTTGTGTTTGTATGTACTTTGCATATTCTTATGCTGAATGGTTTAACTGGGTGCAGTTTTCTGGAACACCAGTTTTTCTTGTGGATAAACTGACAGATAAGCAAAAGCATAAATTGAATTATGCTCAAATTGTTCCCTAATGTATCAGTTGGCATTAGAACAAATTTGCATTTTCAAAACAAATGTTACAACTTGTAACCAACTGTATATTCAGTCAAAGTTTTTCATATCTAGTTCTTCCTTATCCCTGCTTTTACCATTTAAACAGTGGAAAGAATTTTGGACTTGGAAAGAACTTAAGATATCATAAAGTCTATGATCTCTTCATTTTATGGGTAAAGAAACTGAAGCTCAGAGCGGTTATAATGTGACAGATTAGTCCTAGGATAAGAAGCTTTGTTTCAGGATTCCCCGATATTCTTTTCACTCCTCCTCTGTCTTCCAAAGCCACTTAGAGCTTATACCATATGGTATATCATTTGAATATATGTTTTCATGCAATGGTTCATCATTCTTGGATGGTTGAATAGACACTAAGAAGCTGAACATTACTTTTTAGAAAAATTACTTTCCATTTCTAGAGCTCTGTTATATATTTTCAGGTACTGTATGTAGTAATTATTGTGTTTATCAATTAATAGAAATAATCAGGGTCCACTCCCTTTTCTTTTTCTCTCTTTTAACTTTTTTTTTTTTTTTTTTTATCCTCACCCGAGGACATTTTTCCATTTTTTGCTCAGGTAGAGTGGGAGGGAGAGAGAGGAACAGAGAGAGAGAGAGAAACATCGATGTGAAAGGGACACATCGAGTGGCTGCCACCCGCACAACCGACCAGGGCCGGGGACAAACTGCAACCGAGGTACGTGCCCTTAGCGGGAACCGAACCCGGGTCTCTCAGGACCGCAGGCCGACGCTCTAACCGCTGAGCCAAACCGGCCAGGGCTCTTTTAACTTTTTATTCTACCCTTTTTAGAAGTCCTTATTGGAGGAGGAAATAAATTGCTCTATAGATAGTTTTACTAATTTTTATCAGCCTTGAGTATCAAAGCAAGCAGGTTCAAGTTGCTATAATATGCATCATGGAATAAGATTGGAATTCACTAAGAATTTAGGTGAAGGCTGTTCAAAATGCTTCTTTGACATTTATTCCCTAGTATCCATTGTGTTGGCACTTAGAAATTAAATGTTTCATCCGGCCTATGTGGCTTAGTGGGTTGAGCATTGTCCCATGGACTGAGAAATCACAGTTCAGTCCTGGTCAAGGCGCATGCCTGGGTTGTGGGCTTGATCTCCAGTGGTGGTGGTGGAGGGGAGGGGGAGTTCAGGAGGCAGTCGATCAAGGTTTCTCTCTCTCCCTTCCTTCCCCTCTAAAAAATCAATAAAGGCATATTTTAAAAAAGAGAGAGAGAAATTAAATGTGTCCATGATTTTCCACTGAATGACCAAGACATTTTACCTGTGAGTTTACATTGTTACAGTGCAGTGAATTTTACTTGTGAATTTAAATATTCAATTGAGCCCTGGCAGGTTTTGCTCATTGGTTAGAGCATTCTCCCACGGACCAATAAATATTCAATTGACAAATATATATTTAGCAAGGCTGAATGGGAGGTAATAAAACTATAAGACAGATTGTGCTACTTTAAAATTTTTAATTGGACTATATATTTTTTTTTAAATGGAAAGTCAGAAGAATACTTGCAGTCTTCCCTATCAAATGGTTCCTCCTAGGCCC